AGGGAGCTGTTCCTGTTGGCAGCAGAGGATAGGACTTGCAATAATGGGCTTAAATTATTGGAAGAAAGGAACTGGCTGGATATGTGGGGATTACATTAAGAGTACTTCAGCAGTAGAATTGGCTGCCTAGGGAGTTGGTGATCTCCCCCTCATAGGCAGTCTTCAAGCAGGTGCTGGATGAACACTCGCTTCACACTGATCCTGCATTAAGCAGTGGCTTGGACTAGATGGCCTGTGTGGCCTCTTCCAAATCTATATGTCTATGATTCTATAAATGCAGGAAGTGAAGGCACCTTCTGAACCCACTTTGGTAAGCCATTCCAAAGGACTGGAACTACCTAGGGATGCCAGGTATCCCACTATAGTAGGAGACTTCCTGACAATCCCCACTCCCCATTGCCTGGCAGCGACTCAACAGCTGGTGGGAGAAACAAATGGAAAAATGAAGTGCACCAGCACTACACATCACTTCTGGTTTAATCATAGAATTTGGTCCTAGAGTGTTGCCCCTTTTGTCAAGACATCTCTTCCAGTTTAACCATAGAGTTTTGGTGAACCCTACAGTGTTGCCTCTGATGTCATGACATCACTTCCACTTTTTCTCCAGAAGTGATGTCAAATGCTAGTGCAACACCAGCACATTTGTCCCTGCCTCCGAAATCCTCACAGAGGATGGCATCCCTAGACCTACAACAGACAAAGCCTATGATCTAACTGTTGTCATGTGGACAATCCTAAAAGAAGGCCCTGCAAAGAGAAGGCTGTTTAAAGAACACAGCTGGCACATGTTGGTAGATGCAGTTTGGTAAGTATGAGGACCCTAGGCTGTGAAGAGCTACAAAGGTAATCTTGATTTATTATTTGTTCAGAAATGTTGTATGCTGCCTCTACCCAACTAAAACAACAAACCAAACCAAAATGACCAAGACACCAAAAAGAAGTCAATAAAAACAGATCAATAAAACAAACCAAGTCAATAAAATAGATAAATAAATACAAACATGCCAAGCTAATAAAACATGCCATGGAATAAAAGCACATAACAGAGGTCTAAAATTACATTGGTAAAACAATAATCAGGCAAAGAGTAGAACATAAAGCAACAAAAATGATGGAAGTTCTTAATTAAAAGCTGCGGTAAGAGAAATATTTGGGCCTTGGCCTAAAATTTGAAAATTCACAAATTTTCATATCTTGAAATTTGATGTTAAAATTTGACCTCAGGATTATATATTCAATTTTTGAATTGAATTTAGAGAACATCAGAATTTGAAATACAACTATTTTGATTGATATGAATTAAGAATAGAACAGTTACTAAATTCTATTGCAAACATTTCTACTTCAAAATTACCCAATTTTGAACGCTGATTCTGAATATCATGCATTCAGTGAAAATTTACACAATTATAGTGCAATCCTCTGTAGTCATACTGTTCAAAGTTTTCAAAGTCAACAGCTTATTCAGAGAATATGTGGTTCACAATCAAAATTTGCAAAGGAAAAGAATGTATGCTATTAGGTTAGCTCTTACATATCCCTTTGCACACACAGCGCTGTCCCTTCCATTGAAAAGGTGGGAAACTTTTTATAGTTGAAAAGAGTTCAAGGTCTATACTGGAGATTCTGCATTCTCCAAAGACTGATAGATTAAAGCAACATTTTAGAGGAGTACCAAACAAGAGATTCCACTTTGGATGATGTTCTCGTGTCATATTAAAACCATGCATTTAATATCAGAATTAAAGCTAGCTATATAAGGAAATCATTTTGATAATCATTTCCACTGAGTTCAACTGGAAACATTTGCCCACTTGTCCCCTACACACACTCTAGTATGAAATACACAGGGGTTGCATTCCTCATCCCAAGAGATCCTCCTTTGCCTATTTCAGATACATAGGAGAATGCAGGTCCATTCAACTGACATTAACATTTTCACTTGTAGAGCAGGTACAAGGAGACACAAATTGGCAGATAAATGAGCTTCTTCTTCCTTTCTTCAAGCAGAGGGGTGTGTGGGGTGTGTGTATTGTTTTGATTAAAAATAGAATGCACATGTGCTTTTATATATGGATGGGCAGACTCATGAGAGTCTGAGAGAGAGAGATGTCTGAGTGATATATGAGAGAGAGAGATGTCTGAGTGATATCGGATCATGACTCAGCAGGTCTTTCACTCAGAGAGATGATCCAATTCTTTGTCATTAAAGATTGGTCTTATCCCTATGTCCTAAGTGTGTAGGTATGTTTGTTCTTCACCATCACATGTGGATGGTGTAATGTCCCCCTTTGGCTGTGGGTTCCCAGGTTAGAGTACTCACTCAGGTACATGTTCTCAGGTCCATTCAGCAAAGACAAGCTGGCTCAAAACTTCAGCCGTTTATTTGCAAGGAGACAACTCCAACAACCAACAACTTCAGCTTACATACAAAACTGGAAACAGAAACAAGAGCTCTACCCAATAGGAACAAACTCAATCACACAGATATTGGGGGAGGAGCAGACCAGAGGTCATTTCGGGGAGGATCGCGGGGGATCGCAGTTCCCCCAGGTGAGGTGCAGGGGGTGGGGCCCACGATGAAGCCCCGCCCCCTGCTTCCAGCCTCCCCGCTTCCAGCCCTCATTCAGCCTCACTCAGAGGAGGCAGGAGAAGAGGGAGGGTAAGTTGCTTCCCCCCGCCTCTCCCCACCCCTGCCTGCCTGGGGCCAGGGAGGGCCTTGGCGGGGCTTCCTCGCACTCCCACCAGCCTTTCAGGTCCACCGCTGTGCCCCTGGTGTCAGGGGGTGTGGCATATGCTAATGAGTTATGCTAATGAGTTCCCCTAGCTCTTTTTCTACGAAACGACTCCTGGAGCAGACTATTTCATTACACACACACATATATACAATAAATATACCACCTCCCCCTTCTTTACTTTGGTGTGGTTGGTACATCCCAAATATTACAAAAATGTGGAATTAGAAGTTGCTAGCACTTGACTCACCATTGGGGTTCGCCTTTACTGCTAACCCATCACATAGTCCTTAATTCTAGAAGGCAACCTGGCCACCCGCCAATGTTCCCTCTAAGCTGTGAAATCTTGTGAGCAAAAATTCTACTTTGTGAGCTAGTGGCATCAAAGTTGTGAGCAAGTGATTTGGCTGTTGCATAAATTAGTTTGCTCTGTAGCCATCCTTCCCGGGCTAAGACAAAAATGTGTGAGCCGGAGGCTAAAAAACTGTGAGCTAGCTCACACTAACTCAGCTTAGAGGGAACACTGCCACCCGCCACTCTTTGTTCATACACCTTCAGCTGGGGGGGGGCATCATCAGGCCCTGGGAGCACATCTGGAGTGCTATGATCCTCTTCTCCAGGCAGGTCTAGAATATCAGCTGAGACCTGTTCTGAGAGTATGATCAGGCACAGCAGCAGATTCCGGAGGTGCAGAGGAACAATCTTTTCTCAAATGTCTCCTGTTCCTCCTATACATGTTTCCGTTCAGCATTTCAACAGTACAGGAATGTGGTTCAGTCCTCTTTCCTGTAACTGATGCTGGAACCCATCCCATATGGGTCTGTATCTGCACCTTCTCCCCCTCTTGAAGGGGTGGATGGGACATGGCCTGTTTGTCATAGCAGGCCTTTTGTTGACACTGAAGGACCTTCAACTTCTGTGGAACTACAGATGGCAGTCTGGGTGTTAAAGCTGCCAATGTAGCTGGTAGATTGCTGCGTAAAAGCTTTCCCATAAGGAGCTGTGCGGGGGCATACAGGCATTTTCCTTAAATTGAGTAAGGCAAATTAAGATCTGAACCATCTAATAAAGCTTTTTTGAACATGTGTTTGAACCATGCATTCAGCTTGACCATTGGATTGGGGATAGCCAGGACTGGAGTGATAGATATATCATATTCAGATGCAAATTGTTTCATCACCGAACTCGCAAATGGGACATAGTCACGAATGAGCTCTTTAGGAATACCATGGTGAGCGAACAGTGCTTTCATCTTGGCCACAGTCATATCAGCTGTCTTGTCAAGTAGCAGTAGAACCTCATAGTATTTGGAATAATTTGTTGTTGTTGTTCAGTCGCACAGTCGAGTCCGACTCTTCGCAACCCCATGGACCAGCTCCCGCCAGGTTCCTGTCTTCCGCCGTCCTCTGAAGTTGGCTCAATTTCATGTTCATTGCATCTATGACACTGTCTAACCATCTCATTCTTTGCCGTCCCCATCTTCTTTGACCTTCAATCTTTCCCAGCATCAGGGTCTTCTCCAGTGAGTGCTCCCTTCTCATTTGGTGGCCAAAGTATTTGAGCTTCAGTTTCATTATCTGGCCTTCCAGGGAATAGTCAGGGTTGATTTCTTTTAGGATTGACTGATTTGATCTTCTTGCAGTCCAAGGGACTCTCAAGAGTCTTCTCCAGCACCATAGTTCAAAAGAATCTATTCTTCAGCGCTCGGCCTTCCTTATAGTCCAACTCTCGCAGCCATACATTACTATTGGGAATACCATTGCTTTAGAATAATAGTCAACATCTATAAGGTAGGACTGGCCATTGAAGGTTAAAACTGTCAGTTGCCACCTTGAACCAGGGCAATTCTGGGATCTCATGGGAGATCATTGGCTCCCTGCAGTTGCTAGGCTGAAATTCCTGACATGGCCCACAATATTCAACCCATTGCTCTTATGTGAGCATTCATGTTAGGCCAGTACATGATTTGAGGAGCCTGTGCTTTCGATCTCTGCATACCTTGATGGGGAGAGTGAAGCAGGGCTAGCATGTGAGCCTATGCACCTTGGGGAATCAATATTTTAGGGCCAATCATGAGTAAGTCATTTTCAATCCTGATTTGATCCCTAAGAGGCCAATAATGTCTAAGATCTGGTTTAACTTGCTTTTGCTGATGTGGCCATCCATGAAGATGCAGGGGTCTGAGAGGTCTGTCCTTGTGTGGCCTTGCAGCTACTTTAGCAAGGAATCACCAAGTGGTTCAGTATCCGCCAAACTGTAAATTACTTTGTCCTCATAAATGGGATCAGGTGTAGAGGGCAGAGGGAGCGTAGTAGCTCTGAAAAGGGTGTCTGCCACCTGCATGTCTTCACCCTTAGTGTAAGCGATCTGGATGTCATATTTTTGGAACTGTAACAGCATCCTTTGTAGTCGTGCTGGAGCCTTTCCAGTAGGCTTGGCAAAAATTGCTTCCAGGAGTTTGTGGTCTGACTGAACTATCACTTGAGCACCAAACATGTACTGGTGGAATTTAGTCATGGCAAAATGAATTGCTAGAAGATCTTTTTCAATTTGTTCATAGTTTTCCTCGGCCCATGTCAGTGTTCTTGAAGCATAAGCAATAGGTTGCTTCTGTTGAAACAGGCATGTTCCCCAACTGTCTTTGGACACATCTGCCTGTACCTCCAATTGTTCTCCTGGATCAAAGTATCAGAATACTGGAGCAGTTGTGATGGCTTATTTTAGACTGTTTATGGCTTCCTGCTGTTCAGGGCCCCATTGCCACAGTGTATCATTTTTTGACAGGGCTCCCAGAGGTGCAGTCAGACTTGATTAATTTGGTATATATTGGACCAGGTATTGTATAGTAGGCCTTTCTTGTCCACAGGTGGACTTTCTTGTCCACAGGTGGGGACATTTTGTTGATAGCTTCTACTTTGTCATCATCTGGTCTGATGCCATCTTTAGAAAACACATGACTCCTATACTTGACCTCTTCTACCAGGAACTGTATCTTATCCTTGTTAAACTGTACACCCTTTTTGTCGTGCTCTCTGAAGAACATGCTTTAAAATGATCTCATGTTCCTCTTTGGTGCTGCAAAGGTCATGCCATCTGAAATAATATGGACACCTTGGATGTCACCAAAACATTCATAATTTTTCAGCTGAAATACTTCACTTGCTAACCAAATACCAAAAGGGAGTCTGTTAAAGTGCTATCTTCCCCATGGGGTGTTAAAGTTACACACTTCTGCTGATTCTTTGTCTAGTTTTACCTGCCAATAGCCATGCTTTTCATCTAGGATAGTAAACATCTTCTTCCCAGGCAAGTTTTTCCTGACATCTTCAATAGGGATGTGCATTCAGTTCGTCCGAACCGAATGCACCCCCAAAAATGGCCCATTCAGACCCCTTTCGGGCTGCTGCAGGCCGATTCAGATTCTCTGATCTGAATTGGCTTGCCGCCTAATTGCCACCAAAATTTGCCCCCATTATATCCTATGGGCCATTGAAGTCAATGGTGAAAACATAGGGTATATTCTGGAGGCTGGAGGGGAGGGGGTTTGATGGAGAGGCTCCAAACTCACAGGGTAGCTGCTGTAGCCTCTCCCCAAGATACCAACCAGGTGCTTTTTTTTTATAAGTATCAAGATAACATAAGCCTCCTTTAATTTTCTCTCCCTTTTCTGTTTTGTTCCTCTGCTTCAAAGCAGTGGAGCAGGAAAAAATCTATCTTGCTCCAGATCTTTGCTGGAGGCTTTCTTTCACACTACTGTTTAAATTCCAAAAAGTACAGATAATTTTAGGTTCAGGTGATGTCACTTTCAGGAAACTCCCCCAAACCCACCTCTTCCTCTGAAGATTCAATAAGCTTAATTTTGACTGTATGAGACCATATGCATTATAATAAAAACAAAGAAGTATGCATGTTAGGCCCTAGAAAAAGATCACCAGTCCTTCACACTATGCAAAATATACAACAGAAAGGCTGAAGAATCTGAAACTGAACACTCTACCAAAAAAAACCCCCAAAATCACAAATTCGCCTTCATACAGAAGAATCACAATCATCTTTTTTAAATTGTGGCTAGGATTCAGAGAGCTAAGTTACATATCTGCAAGTGTTTTGTTATGCAAGATGCTTCCTTTAAAAGCAACCTGCCCGAGTTCATCCCCCAAACCTCCAGGTGTATCCCAACTCAAAGCTGGCAACAACTGCTGATCTCAACTTTTCCATTTATTTATTTATTTACTTGGTTTTGGTGCAGTGTGCTGGAAGTGACATCATAGGAAGGGGGTGGAGCTTGGGAAATGACATCACTTGACCTTTGACCTGGAACTGACATCACAGGAATCTGACCTGGCAACCCTAATGCAGTGAAACAATACTGCACTTTTGTAATCCTCAGCCTCTTTTACAGTTTCAACTTCTGTTTCCATCTCCTCCATTTCTCCCCAGAATTTCCCACAGAGGGTAAGTCTGATGGAGGCTTGAAATGCTCCACTGTGTTACGAGGGATGCAATCTGGAACCTTCCTGTTCAGTGCTGGAGATTCAAAGGAAATACAGGCCAACGTCTGACACCACGTAATGTCCACATTTGGCTGTGGGTTCCCAGGTTATAGTACTCACTCAGGCACCTGTTCTCAGGTCCATTCAGCAGAGACAAGCTGGCTCAAAACACCAGCCATTTATTTGCAAGGAGACAAGTCCAACAACCAACAACTTCAGCTAATGTACAAAACTGGACACTGAAAACAAGAGCTCCACCCAATAGGACCAAACTAAATCACACAGATATTAGGGGTGAAGCAGACTGTTCCATTACATACATACATAGATACATACATACATATGTACAATAAATATACCACAGACAGGAATCTTTACTTCTCAGCCTTTATCTTTCCAATCTTCAAGGCAGGCTGCCTGTCTCTAAGGATTAAAATCTGGGCCTCTGCCTCTAAAAAAAGAGAGAGAGATCCTCTGCGGCCTTCATATATAATTGAATATATTGGGGAAGTGAGAAAAGGGGCCACCAAGAGAATATATTTGAATCTATTTGAAGAAGTGTGCATGCACACAAAAGCTTATACCCAGAATTAAAATTTGTTGGTCTTAAAGGTACCCCTGGACTCAAACTTTGTTCTATTTTTTTCCTACTAATTTACTTGGAACAGATGTTTGGCTAACTGACCAGCAATTCCATAGATATTCTTTTATTTCAGTGTGATATTTGCTCCTTTTCATTTCTCTGGCATGAAGGCCAATTTTACTGACAAGCTACATATTGGTTAGGTGTTCATCAGTGCCACAACTACATGAATTGTGAAATTGTATAGTGTATAGATGGAATATAAGTAATGTAAAAAAATGGGAGGGGCATACTCTTCAAACAACAACTTCAGATCAATACCGCACTACACAGCAAAATTTAATCTAGTAAAATAATGTTCTCTTCCACTTAAACTTTACTCTTGTTGTTTTTAAGATGCCCAGAATTTCTAGCATCCAACACAAATGTTCTGTCTGGCCTTAGCTGTTCAGCAGATGAATAGTTACAAAAACATTAGAGAAGTTCAGAGGTATAGAGTTCAAATGGCTCTGTATAAAAAATTAGATGAAAACGCCACCAGAATTTGTGCCAAAAACCAGTCAAAATTTATAATGTGAATAGCCTCATGCTGGGAGAGTACATTAATCCCAGATTTATCATTATGGCACAAAAAACTATGGGACCTGCCAATACATTATGGCAAAAATAACTGACAACTTATCCTGTCTTGATTCTCAGATTTCCTCATCCAACTTTGTTACAACTTGGTTTCCCATTATGGAATACTTAGTAAAACAAGCTGGAATCACTAATGTGATTGATGATCTATGTCTGTGGTAATTCATATCTTAATGAAATTGACAAATCAATATGCGTTGTTTTAGATTTATATCATATGTTCATCTCATTAATTTATGCTATACTTCTGATATAGTAATCTTTGGTTTTGTTTTCTTCATCTGTGTTGTGGTTTTGAAAATATACAATAAAAAGTAAATTAAAAAAACTAATAATGTGACAATGAGGAAATACATTCTGGTCTCATGCTGCTATTGTATTCATCTATCAGTGTGCCGATGCAGTGTAGTAGTTATGGGAGACCCAAGTTCAAATCTCCACTGTTCCATGAAACTCTCTGAGTATCCTTGGACTAATCACTTTTTCTTAGCCTAACCTACCTCAGAAGGCTGTTGTGAGGATAAATGGGGAAGGGAGAATCACATACACTGCACTGAACTTCCTGAAGAGAGGGCGAGATAAAATGTACTAGACAGAGATATCATTGACTGCATAAAGATTTGGGGAAATATCTAATGTGCAGGTCACTTGAATTTCGAACATACAGCCAAATAATGTAGAAAGTCGTTGCAATGGCAGCTGATGAAGAAGTCTAGGTAATAAATAGTGCAGCCTCTGAACAATAATCCAGGAGAAGAAATTATATGTTCTCATGGGCAAACACTGTACAACAACATGGAAAACCATAGCAATGAGATGATGCCTGCCGCACTGATTTTCAGGTGGCATTTTGAGTTGCTTTAGCTAACCCAAGATGCTTCCTAAATGTTTTCTCCTGCCCATCCAACTGTTCTAGCAGTTGCTATTTCCCTGTCCCCTTACGGTTTCTTCTGTCTCCATTCCAACCTCAAAATCCTGTCTCTTGGCTGCTGCCTGGCCACTTTTTCCACTTCCCTTCCCTGCTGTATCCTGGTCCATTTCCTTCCCTCCCTTCTGTCTGCTGCTGCTTTCACTGTTTTCCAACCACAATTTACTGCACCCTCTTTCCTCTGTTCTGCCATATCCCCATCCTCCCGCTGCTATTTGACTTCCCTGCTTTAGTGTTTGTGCCATTTTGGTTGATTTGGCAACTCCAAATGCCGCCCAGACTCTGTTCTTAGGGGGATGTCTATCTGCTCCATGTTTTTTAAACTACATTTTTCAAGTTTTTGCAGGCGGTTTTTTGTAGAAAAAGCCCAGTGGGAACTCATTAGCATAATAGGCCACACCCAACAGCAGAAACTAATTAGCATATTAGGCCACACCCCTGACAGCACAGCTCCCTCCTAGTATCAGCTTCCCCAGGTGCCCCACGGCTTGAGGGGGGCATGGGGAACCCAAGGGAAGGAAAACAACTCATTAGCATAATAGGCCACACCCAACAGCAGAAACTAATTAGCATATTAGGCCACACCCCTGACAGCACAGCTCCCTCCTAGTATCAGCTTCTCCAGGTGCCCCACGGCTTGAGGCGGGCATGGGGAACCCAAGGGAAGGAAAGCAGTTTCTGGATCAGCTTCCCCAGGTGCCCTGCAGCTGTGGGGCACCTGGGGAACCTGAGGAGGGGAGGAAGTTTAAACTGCCTTCCCTCCCTGGATCAGCTTGGCTTCTCCAGGCGCCCCGCAGATTGAAAAGAGCCTGGGAAACCCAAGGGGGGGGAGGTTGTAGGTGTGACCAACTCGGAAGCCAGCTGGAACTCTGTTCCTGTGCATTACTGCCCAAAAATAGCCCTGTTTTTGTATTTTTCTGAAAATGTGGTGTTTCCCCGTATGATCCCATTATGAGGATGTATTGATCTGTATATTGGAGCAACCCATGGCTACTCAGCTTTTTCACTCACAAGAGTATGAAACAGCTTCCAGAACTAATGTTGCAGTCTTTTCTTGTCTAGTATGGATATCTCAAATATTCAAAGAATACCTGGGAATATAGACCATCTATATTTAATGGGAGGACACATTTATTTTCCTTTCTTATTGAAGTCCATACTTCACTCATGATCTTATACTGAATGAAGGTAAAAACTATTTTTTTAATCAATCTTTAACATCTTTAACCACCTAAAATATATATATACATAGCACATGCCTAAAGCAAGCCTGCTTTGATACCTTTGATTTCTGGGACGTTCTGGAACAATGATAATGAGATACAACTCATAAGGAAGGGAAAAGAAATGAAATGCAACACATGGGATCAGCTGTAGGCCTACTCTAGAGATTTTTGGCAATTGATGTTTGCATCAACAAAAGACACACACTGAACAGCATTGACTTCTTTAATTAGTGTTACTACAAATGGTTTATGCACATACTTTGACAATCAGCAAAATCTAACACTTCTTTTCCAGCAAACTAGTTTAATTATGAATGTTCATAATACCTTGCTTTGAGAATTGCTCTGTGCTTCCTGCAAGTTCATTGGCTGACAGATTTCCACAGGAAGTATATGTATGCCATGGTTCTGGGGGGATGGGGAGAAGGAAAAATGGACAAAATGTATTCTTATTAAAATGTAAAGCAATATTAT